TATATATATATATATATACAAAAAAATGAAAAACATTTTAAAGGAGAATCATACAGGTCTACAAACCTTTACTTCACAATAATCACGTTCTGAGACAAAATGGAAAGAAAGTACAACGTCAAATATTCACTTTGTTTCCGAATAATGTACAGAATAAAAAATCAAAGAAAGAACAGAATCTTTTCTACGTAAGAAAACTAATTGTCCAATGGAGCAAAATGTATTTTGGAATTTTTCTTAATTAGATTATTTCCAGTAACCTGGTATCATGAACCACGATAGCGAGTTCTACTTTTTTATTTTTAAATTCGATAATCGTTGAACAAATTCAGTCACAGCATTCACGTTTGTTAATAGCAATTACTGAGCGCCGATTGTCTCTCTCTCTCTCTCTCTCTCTCTTTTTCTTCCGTTGTCGGGTCTCGGTGTTTTCCTAACGGACGAACTTCTATTTACCATTTCATTCTGATATTTCCAGCGAGCGGTGCACCTGCAAACGCGCACTAAGCAAACGAAGCTTCAATTCCTGACCGCGAAAGACCACGATCAGAATTGCAGAATCCAGTTAGCTTTTTGTCCACGTGCTCTTTTTTCCCCCCTCCCCTTCTTCACTGAATTGCAAACAACTCTTGTTCGCTGAGTTAATGCTGTTTAACATAACTAACATAAAATGGAGTGTTTGCCGTGTGGACGTCTTTTTCTATGCAAATTACCTACGAGTATCAGCCTTTTTGTTGACAAAAGCTGCGAACAGCGAGACGATGGGAAATATCTATTAAAAGAGATTTTTATAAAAGCCATTTTATATAAGGCATCCTTTTTGATGAAAATATGCACGTAACTCTTCAGTTGATATGACTTGGATTTCCTCTTGATTTTCTCAGAAACGAACTTCTCGCTCGGGACAGTTTCGTCCTTCGCTTTCTGCTTTATTCTTTCATGGAGATTTTAAGGATTCAGTGCATGAAGCAGCTCTGTCACAATAGCAGCATCTGTCACATTGTGGGATATCAAGATTTCCACGGAAAGTGCTATTGTACTAGGATTTTAATTATGGGATGATAAACTCGATAGAAATCAAGAAATGTCGGATTTAACAATGAAATTTCATTTTTCAACATTTGCAACTTGGATTACTCAGTTATACAGGGCGGTCACTACGCATTCTCATTTCATTAATTCTCGTCGCGTGAAA